AACTCACGTAAACAAATTTGATCTATGCGATGATTGGCTAAAAACGCGACCTATGGCTATCTGATTGATCCAGTTTTGACAGGTAATGACATATCTGTACAGGCTGGCATACAACTGGTTCATCGCATTTGTTCAACAAGAAAGGATAGAATTGCTTGTAAATTTTAGCAAAAAAGCCAAAGAAAACAAGCATTCAACTGCTAGAAGAAATGAAAATTCAAATACTGAAGAGTTTGAAAAACGTTTTCAAAGTTCAGATCGTTAAATGGACATTTAACTTGTACAAACACTCAAGAAAACCAGCTTTTGAACACTTTGAATGCCAAGGAGCCGAGAGACTGAAAAATATCTTGATCTTCAAAATTGGAAGAAAGCTAGCAGTGCAGTACTTTGTTTTTTTAGTTGACCCTGAACTATAGTAGTGTAGGTAGTATTTTGTAATCGTAGTCTCGGGCTATTGGAAAACACTAAATTACGGTAAAAAATTACAGTAAATTAGCGTAAAATTGACGATGGTAGTTTGTAAAGTAAGCTTAAGTTTCTTACAATAGATTTGTTCATTCTTGTTAGACTATGAAAAATTTTTTAAATTATTTTTTGACTTCTCTAACACCATTCGGGTCAAGCAAAAAGCTTCTAGTTTAGCGAAATAAGGTCATTATAATAGTCGCAGCACAAACGAAAGAAAGCTTTACTCGTCGAAATGTAGTACCAATCAAATGTGCTTCAAAACGACATATTTTCCTTTTTTAGAGGAAAGACATAATTCTTGATAAAAATAAATGAATATTTTAAATTTAAAATGTGAAAATGCTTTAAATTGAAAAGCCGGATTCCTGTGATGTAATTGGTTTTGACATGGTTTTGACGTCATATCCATGTTTCTATACTCTGATAAAACATAGTTTTTCAGCCAATCAGAGCGCGCGTTCGTGAAAATCTATTATATAAAGTGTTATGTTTGAACGTTTGAATGTTTTCAGTTGTTGTTGTTGTGGGAAACAAAATGACCCAAGGAATGTGTACCAGATATATATATGTTTATATGGCTTGGTTTTTGGTTTAGTTTTATAATTAATTAGCTTCCTTGGTACAGGCGCACAGTTGCTAGTGACAACCCCCCTCCAAGGCTTAGGAACTCTAAAAAAAAGCCCAGGTCGAATAGGCTTTATATATAGACGGCTAAAGAGAGCATAGAGGAAATAAAAAAGAAAATTTTTTTACTAAACTTGTTCAGTATCGATCATTGCGGTCTTAAAGATCATCGAAACGTCGAGAAAAACGTCGAATTATTTTGTTTCATATATTTTGCTTTTGTTTGTTTGTTTGTTTGTT